GACTCGGGCTGACACCTGTTGTTCCTGCCAGTACGGAGCTGTCCCACCCCTGGGGCACCCAGAGTCCTACCTACAGTCTTGTCATTTCTCCACCTCCCTATTCCTGCTGGGTCCTGCTATCCCTCCTTTTACCTCCCTTACACACCCTCTCCCAGAGACGGAAGGGACATGGGAGCTACATGAACTGGCATCTGTTCATTCAGTCTGATGGGTCGAGGCTGAGAAGTTTGCCCCACAGCCTCTCCTCTGAGCTGATCTGACTCATGGAGGACAGAAAGTATCTGCCAGAGGAAAGAAATGGGCCACAGAAGTGGGAGACAGGAGGAGGGAATGGCTGGGGCAGCTGTCCACTGAAGGGGCCGCCACAGAAGAGTCCAGCAGGGGCTGCTGGCTGCTGTGACCACCCTATCTCATTTCACCACTCTCTGCTGCCCAGGTAGGCTGGATCCTGGGCTACAGAAATTAATCAGACTGGGAGCCCTGCCCTGTGGCGCAGGGTTGCAGCACACCACTGATGTGTGCTCACCCTGAACTATATCACTTAATTCCCACAGCAGCTCACAAGGTAAACACTGATAGTGCCCCTGCTTTACCCACAAGGAAACCATGTGTCACTTGCCTGGGATCCACACAGCAAGTGCCCAGAGCTGCAGCTGAACACCAGGACTGCAGGTCTATATTTTATCACCTCTTGAAGGTTAGAGGTCAGTTCTACCATGTGATGCAGGGGGTCAGGAAAGAGTTGAGGGAGAGGATGGAAGAGGGTAGGGTGGGTCATGTGGGAGAGGTGGGAAGGTGAAAGATATAGGGAGCAGCAGAAGCCCCGGGGCAAGAATTAGCTAGGGATGGTTCAGAGAGGCTTAGACTGAAATCAGGGGCAGACAGGGCTTCCTGTGGGCAGAGTTATGTGATCCCATTTGTAATTAGATCACTTGGGCAGAGTGGAAGGAGTTCAGGAGGTAGTCCACTTTGGGAACTCATTAGGTATGTGTTGAAAAGAGAATGGAATTCAACAGTTACTTATTGCGTACCATTTATGTTCCCATCACTCTACTGGGGTATTTTTCTAGTCGGAATACTGAGCAGTGATTACAACAGTGCAGATGGGAGAAAGACGAGACCTGAACCTGAGGTGGGAGCAGTGGCTTTGGGAGCAGGGCAGGGAACAGTGAGATTCTAAGATGATAGAACTAGAGACCAGTAGACAGATATGCCAGAGAGTGGGGGAGAATCTGAAGTTGGTTCCCAGGTTTCTGGTCTGGGAGGTAGAAGGACAGCGGAGGAAAGGGGGATACAGGAGGAGGAATAGATTTGGGGACATGAGACAATTCAGATGTCCAACAACAGAAGGCTGGTTACGTAAGTTGTGTACATCTGTGTAACAAAATAATTTTAATGTCTGACATTCCATTATATAGGTGTATCAACAAAACCTCTTAACTTTTGTTAAGAGTTTTTTCTTGATTTTTCACTTTTATAAATGACACTATAATAAACTGACTTTTACAAAGGTCTTCACCATTCCCATCTTAGAAGGGTAATTTGGGGGTCATAAGGTATTGAACATCTTCAAAACCTTTGAAGCCTTTGATATAATACATGTTGTCAGATTGCTTTTTATGGAAAGGCTGTGCCAAACTTTACTCCTGTGGCAGCATAGGAGAGTTGGGCCTCAGCGTCCGACCACTCATGCTGTGAAACCTGTATAGATGCACGTATACATGCATACATAGACATTTAGTGGGTCAAAAATTATCCAGTTATTTTAATGTGCATTTCCTCAACACTACTGAGTCAATTTTTTTCATGTTTTTTGTATCTTTTAATCCATTTCTGTGGGATCTTATTGAATTTTCATGAGTTTTTTTTTTTTTGCATTTTTTTAAAGAGAGAGAGGAGGAGAGAGAGAGAGAGAGTTTTTTAAATATTTATTTATTGGTACGTGGTGCTGAGGATTGAACCCGGGCCGCACGCATGCCAAGCGAGCGCGCTACCGCTTGAGCCACATCCCCAGCCCTATGAGTTTTTAAAATACAAATTTTTTATTATTTGTGACAAATCTTTTCCCACTTTTTGTCTTCCTCTTAATTTTTAACTTTGCTTGCTTATTTGTATGTTTGTTTTTGCAGTGCTGGGGATGGAACCCAGGGCTCAGTCATGCTAGGCAAATGTTCTACCACTAAGCCACATCCCCAGACTGCTTATTATATTTTTGATGTACCAAAGCACTTGAAATATATAAAGTTCAGATCTTTTCTTCTTTATTGCATTAATGTTTGGAAAGTTCAGTGCTAAAGTATACATCTGGTTTTTCTTTTCCTTTTTTTTAAATTTTTATTTGGTTTATTTTTTTAACAGCCTTTTTTTCTTTTTTTAGTTGTAAATGGATACAATATCTTTATTGATTTTTGTGTGGTGCTGAGGATCGAACCCAGTGCTTCATGCATGCAAGTTAAGCACTCTACCACTGAGCTACAACTCCAAACCTCTTTGCTTTTTTTTTTTAATATTTATTTTTTAGTTTTGGGTGGACACAATATCTTTTTTTTTTTTAAAGAAAGAGTGAGAGAGAGAGAATTTTAATATTTATTTCTTAGTTTTTCGGTGGACACAACATTTGTTTGTATGTGGTGCTGAGGTTCGAACCTGAGCCGCACACATGCCAGGCGAGCGCGCTACTGCTTGAGCCACATCCCCAGCGCACAATATTTTTATATTTATATGATATTGAGGATCGAACCCAGTACCTCATGTATACCAGGCGAGCACTCTACCAATGAGCCGCAACCCCAGCCCTTTTTTTGCTTTTTTAACATTTAGTTATTTTGTGTATGATGTGAGAGAAGAGAAGGTAAATTAATCTTTTTCCCAAATGCAAATCTTTGCATATCACTTGTTCCACAGATGGTGGCACTTCCTTTATCAAAACCTATACATGGGCTGGGGTTGTGGCTCAGTGGTAACGTGCTTACCTAGCATGCATGAGGCACTGGGTTTGATTCTCAGTACCACAAATAATTTTTTTGTTGTTGTTAAGAAAGAGTGAGAGAGGAGAGAGAGAGAGAGAGAGAATTTTTAATATTTATTTTTTAGTTCTCAGCGGACACAACATCTTTGGTAGTATGTGGTGCTGAGGATCGAACCCAGGCCGCACACATGCCAGGAGAGCGCACTACCACTTGAGCCACATACCCAGCCCCCCCACAAATAAATTAATAAAATAAAAAGGTTCATCAACAACTAAAAAATATTTAAAAAAAAAACCTGTACGTGTGTTGATGCTGTTCTGTTCAGTAATCTGTGTCTTGATTCTTATACGTATGTTAGTGTTGTAACATGAACAAATCCATAATATACCCTAATACCTCATTTATAAATGATGAGAAGCATTACTTTTCCCTTTTAATTCTCTTGGATAGGTTTTTAGAATCCTTTGGGTAAATTTCTAAAACCCTTTTGAGATTGTTCTTAGAATTGTGTTCAGCCTGTGTCTGGGAAGAGCCGGCCTCCTGTTGGTGGTGTTCAGCCTTCCCTCCAGGAATGCGGTTTGTCTCCCTTTCTTTCAAGTCAACCATTTATGTCTCAATAAAGGATCATAGTTTTCTTTCTATAATTCTCTCAGATTTCTGAGATTTACCACTCAGTTATTTATTTTTTTGTTATGATTGCAAATGAGGTCTCTTTTTGTTTTATACCTGGGGGTTGTTTCCTCTTGGTGCATTAAATTATTCATTCTAAGTCTTGTTGATTTTATTCATTTTGTTTTTGTTTTGTTTTGTTTTGTTTTGTTTTAGGCAATTAGGCAAGTAAATTGGCTGGTAATAAGTTACATTGGAGCCCACAGTAATGCCCCTGGCTCTGGGGCTGGTTGGGTCTTCCTCCAGCAGTACTCAGACACCCAGTTGTAAGGGTAGAAAAGGGAAGTTAAGAGTGATGCCAAGGTCAGTGTTTCCCAGTATGGGCAATAGAAGGACAAGGGACAGGGTACTGAGGGACCTCACAAAACGGGTTGAAGTGATTTACTTAGGGGTCTAGACCAAGAAAGGCTGTGGGAATCAGAGGTCTCCCTGTGTTTGGGTGAAAGGGAAAGGGTTAAAGAGAAGAGGTTGGGGACTGGGGAT